TATTTTTGACGTTTCATCAGCCTTTGGCATTGATTACCTTTATAGCCTTGCATGTAGAGAGAAGTAGGCTTTGGAGTTGTCAGGCTTGGGTTTAGATTCCGCTCTGTGTGACCTTGGATACATTCTTATCAGGCTGGTTTCCTCATTTGTACAGCGTGCATACGTGTGAACATCTTTAACTGAGAGCTAAGGGAAATGTGCTCCATACATATGCCATCCCTTCCCTTCCCTATTTGGTTTGGTTTCTGACACCTTGCCCTATCCATTTTTGATGTGGGTAGTATTACAATCTCCATTTTACAAATGAGGAAACTAAAATCAATCATGTAGGAAGTGGTAGAGCTGGAATTCTACCACTGAGTTGTTGGACTCCAGAGTACAAACCCTGAGTCTCTGTGCTAAATTGCCAGTATATCTAAGAATTTTTGGAAACTAGTTTTCCTTGGGTTGTCAATGCACTGTTTTTTTAATATGGTGTCTGTTAACAGGAAATCTCTTTAATTACTAATTCATGAAATGTCTGAACCAGTGGAGCTTTTTTTCTCCCATTATTACTTTTATTTTTTAATTTAATTTTATTATGTTAGTCACCATACAATACATCATTGGTTTTTGATGCGGTGATCCACGATCCATTGTTTTCGTATAACACCCAGTGCTCCATGCAGTACGTGCCCTCCTTAATACCCATCACCGGGCTAACCCACCCCCCCTCCTCCCTCCCCTCTAGAACCCTCAGTTTGTTTCTCAGAGTCCATGGTCTCTCATGGCTCGTCTCCCCCTCCGATTCCCCCCTCCTTCATTTTTCCCTTCCTTTTCAAAGGAAATTTTCTTCCCTTTCTTCCCCTAGTGTATTTATGTGTGTGTGACACAAGCACAAACAACTGGAGCCCTTACATGGCCATTTTTTCCTGTCTGTTTCATCCATTCCTCCACCCACCCTGCCCCCCGACAACCACCAGTTCTCTGTGTTTAAGTCTGTTTTTTTCTCTTTTTCTCTTTGTTCATTTGTTTTCTTTCTTAAGTACCATATGAGTGAAATCATATGGTATTTCCTTTTCTCAGACTTATTTCACTTAGCGTTATATGCACGAGGTCCATCCATGTTGTTGCAAAAGTCAAGATCTCATTTTTTTTTTTTTTTAAAGATTTTATTTATTTTTCAACAGAGAGAGAGACAGTGAGAGAGGGAACACAAGCAGGGGGAGTGGGAGAGGGAGAAGCAGGCTTCCCGCCGAGCAGGGAGCCCGATGTGGGGCTCGATCCCAGGACCCTGGGATCATGATCTGAGCCGAAGGCAGACGCTTAATGACTAAGCCACTCAGGCGCCCAAGATCTCATTTTTTTTTTTTTTAAATGATGAGTGGTTTTTTATTTTATTTTATTTATTTGAGAGAGAGAGTGAGAGACAGAGAGCATGAGAGGGAGGAGGGTCAGAGGGAGAAGCAGACTCCCTGCCGAGCAGGGAGCCCGATGCGGGACTCGATCCCGGGACTCCAGGATCATGACCTGAGCCGAAGGCAGTCGCCCAACCAACTGAGCCACCCAGGCGCCCCGATCTCATTTTTTTTTTATGGCTAATACTCCTTTGTATATACATACCACATCTTCTTTATTCATTCGGCTATTGATGGACACTTGGGTTGCTTCCGTATCTTGGCTATGGTAAATAATGTTGCAATAAACATAGGGGTGCATGTATCTTTTCAAATTAGTGTTTTTGTTTTCTTTGGGTAAGTACCTAGTAGTGGGATTACTGGATCATATGGCAATTCTATTTTTAATTTTTTGAGGAATCTCCATAATGTTCTCCACAGTGGCTACACCAGTTTGCATTCCTGCCAGCAGTGCATGAGGGTTTTTCTTCACATCCTCGCCAACACTTGGTTCTTATCTTTTTGACACTGGCCATTCTGACAGGTGTACAGTGATATCTCATGGTGTTTTTGATTCACTGCTGATTAGTGATGTTGAATATCTTTCATGTGTTTGTTGGCCATGTGTATGTCTTCTTTGGAAAAATGTCTGTTCATGTCTTTTGCCTGTTTTTTAACTGGATTGTTTGTTTTTGTGTTGAGTTGTATAAATTCTTTATATATCTTGGATATTAATCCCTTATTGGATATATTATTTGCAGTTATCTTCCTGCATTCAGTAGGTTGCCCTGTCATTTTGTTGATGGTCTCCTTCACTGTGCAAAAGCTTTTTATTTTGGTGTAGTCCTGCTAATTTATTTTTGCTATTGTTTCCCTTGCCTTAGGAGACATATCTAGAAAAATGTTTCTACTGTCAGTGTCAGAATTACTGCCTATGTTTTCTCTTAGGAGTTTTATGGTTTCAGGTATCACATTTAGGTCTTTGGTCCATTTTGAGCTTATTTTTTATATGCTGTAAGAAAGTGGTCCAGTTTCTTTCTTTTGCATGTAGCTGTCCAGTTTTCCCAACACCATTTATTAAAGAGTCTTTTCCCCATCGTATATTCTTGCCTCATTTCTTGTAGGTTAATTGACCATATAAGTGTGGGTTTATTTCTGGAGTCTCTTTCTCTTCCATTGATCTGTTTATTTTTGTGCCAGTACCATACTGTTTTGATTACTACAGCTTTGTAGTATTATCTTAAAATCTGGGATCATAATACCTCCAGCTTCAATCTTTTTTCTCAAGATTACTTTGGCTATTTGAGGTCTTTTGTGGGTCCATAAGAACTTTAACATTATTCTAGTTCTTTGGAAAATGCTGTTGGTATTTTGATAGGGATTGCATTAAATCTGTACATTGCTTTGGGTAGTATGGACATTTTAACAATACTGGTTTTTCTAATCCATGAGCATGGAATCTCTTTCCATTTGTTTGTGTCATCCTCAGTTTCTTTCATCAGTGTTTTATAGTTTTCAGCATACAGGTCTTTCACCTCCTTGGTTAAGTTTATTCCTAGGTATTTTATTATTTTTGGTGCAATTGTAAGTGGGATGGTTTTCTTATTAAGTGGTCTTTTTTTTTTTTTAAAGACTATTTATTTATTTATTTGACAGAGAGAGACACAGCGAGAGAGCGAACACAAGCAGGGGGAGTGGGAGAGGGAGAAGCAGGCTCCCCACGGAGTGGGGAGCCCAACGCAGGGCTCGGCCCCAGGACCCTGGGGTCATGACCTGAGCCGAAGGCAGACGCTTAACGACTGAGCCACCCAGGCGCCCCTAAGTGACCTTTTTAATGAAATTAATTGGTAGCCAACTAAGGAAGTATAGCAAAGACAGAGTTTATGTTTTGAGAATTCTAGATTATATGTAAAGTGCCAAACCAAGAAAGAGGACACAGGCAACTAGCCATGATAGTAGTTCTGAGGTACATGATTGTGGGTTATATACTATAGCCTTTTGGAAAGGGAATCATAGCTTCATTGACTTTGTAGACTAGAAAAGATAGAAGGTGGCTGTGTCAGTCCTTTAAGTTCACCTTTCAGCATTGTGAATGAAGTTCTTCCAGCTGTTGACCTGTGATCATGTGGGCACTGCTCTTGCTAGAGAAAACTAGTGGTTTTGTCAGCAAAATGGACCCCTTGTCTATTGCTGGAGAGGAGGGGCCTCCTAGCACAGTATGCAGACTGCGGTACAGGGGCCATCATCCTCATGGTCTGTAACCAGAAAGGCGAGACCGTGGAGTGGGATTGCTCCAGGGGCATTAAATGAGATCATGTGCATACAGTACTCAGGGCAGAAGGGTGAGTTCCTACGAAGATGAATCAGATGCATAAAAAGCCTTAATTGCTTTTCTCTGTTTCTCACCTTTTTTTTTTTTTTTTAAAGATTTTATTTATTATTTATTTGAGACAGAGAGAATGAGAGAGACAGAGAGCACATGAGAGGGGGGAGGGTCAGAGGGAGAAGCAGGCTCCCTGCCGAGCAGGGAGCCCGATGCGGGACTCGATCCCGGGACTCCAGGATCATGACCTGAGCCGAAGGCAGTCGCTTAACCAACTGAGCCACCCAGGCGCCCATCTCTTTCTCACCTTTTCTTCGGCTTTGTGACTGTAGGTAGGAAACTGATCTTCCTTGAACTTTTCCTGTACAGTTGTCATCTATTTAAGGTTTAGCAGCTGCTAGGTAAAATAATGCCCTGTCCATTCAGTCTGTTCTCTGACTCTGCATGCCACACTTGAGGATGCTACAAGGAACCTGGAATCTTGATGTGGGGAATTCTTTGAACTCAGAAAGTAAAATTTCTACCTTTGAGGCAATAACTCAACAACAGGCCTGAAAACTGTATATAGCAATGATAAAGAAGAGGGCAAGCATCAGATTTACATCGCATATAATGGGAGCTCTTGCAGCAGCTATTGGTCACAGTCATACACGTGTGTCAGAACACTAGTAATAGCATCTTTAAATTCAAAAGGAAGGGGCGCATGGCACTGTGGCCAAGGAGTCAGGCCTGGTATTCTTACTTTATTAAATATTTAAATACTATAGAACACCACCTCATGGTATCGTGAATTGTTTTCTCTCCTTACTTTTAAGGTAAGTAGATTTATTTATAAAGTCTATAGTTCAGTTCAAACACTTCTCTGTAGTCACAAAATGGGAAGGAAAGAGCTATATTTCTACTCTACCTTCTTTATATTATAAGCTAAAATGTTCTCTGAAATCTTAGTTGTTTGTAAGATGTGTATTAATTTTACTTAAGCGTAATCACTGCTTACCTAGTTGGGATCATAATTTATGTCAGGCAGCTACAAAGTATAGATTTCTTTTATTAATTTATGGGTACAGCATTTATTCCACTGGTGGAATGATCTGTTTTGTTATTAAAAGAGATTAGAAAACCATTGGTGCTTTGACAGGATGAGGCTACAGCATAATCTCACTTTTATGAAACTGTCATGTGAAAGTACTGTTTAAGGAGCAAATTTTAATTAAGATTTATATCAAAACTCAGCTAGTTTGTTATAGACAATAAAGGAACTCTTGGGCTAAAGCTAGTAAAAAATTTTTTTTCACTCATAGGTAATTAGTAAAATGTCTCCAACATCCCTAAAGATCACACTAAGGCAACTCATAGAGGGGTCTTCAAAGACCTTGCAAGAAGTATTAACTATGGAATATCGGCTGAGTCAAGCTTGTATGGTAAGAATTTTAAAAATATATACTTATTTTCTATTTATGAAAGTAATAGATGTTCATTGTAGAGCATGTAAAATGCAGAAAACTATAAACAAAAACCTTAAGACTACTTGTAAATATACTCTGTGGACACACAACAGACCAATTAACTTAAGGTATGTGGAACTACTGCTCTCACATTGTTCTTAAGCCCTTACGAAACAGCAGCTATATTTGTGTGTAAGTGTAAGAAAGCTTCTAATCTCGGGCGGAATTCAAAATAGAAATTAACCATTTTTCAGGCACGGTCTCTGACCTTGAGGCAAGAAGCATAAACTCTGTAAATCTGAATTCCCTCATTGGTAAAACGAGGAATATATGTATATATAAACTGTATGAATGGGTGTTTATTAGTTTGTTACATATGTTAATTAGTAGTTTAGCATTGAAAATACCATTGTAAATGCACTTAAGATAGACTAATCACATAGAATATTAATTTTATGAAACATTTCGGAGTCTTAGAGATTTCTTCTTCTAGGTGAGAAACTCTGAAAGCAGAATCATTGCTTTTGTGTTATATGTAGAGGACCCTTAATTTATGGCATAAAGGAAATATTTTGTTTAATAACTAGAAAGTAGGTCTCCCTAATGGACTTTCATGTCTTGAAATAGTTATTAAGGTATTCAAAGTAGTTCATCTAACTATAAATAAAACTCTATTAGTCACTTGAATCTTAAAGTCACTCCTAGTAGGATGTAAGTAGCAGCTGAGGGCTATTGTTAAGAGAAGTACTGTGACAGGCATTTTATATGTATCCTCTCCATTAAATTTTACACTATTTCTAGAATGATAGGTACTATTCTTGTCTCCACTTTACAGATGAGGAAACTGGCATAGAGAAGTAACCTGCCTCAGGGGGTATAGCTATTTTTTTTTTTTCTTAAAGATTTTATTTATTTATTTGACAGAGAGAGAGACAGTGAGAGAAGGAACAGAAGCAGGGGGAATGGGAGAGGGAGAAGCAGGCTCCCTGCGGAGCAGGGAGCCCGATGCGGGGCTCGATCCCAGGACCCCGAGATCATGACCCGAGCCGAAGGCAGTCGCTCAACCAACTGAGCCACCCAGGCGCCCCAGGGGTATAGCTATTAAGTGGCAGACACATGGGGTGTGAAACCAGGTGGGCTCACTCCAAGGCCTGTACTCTTGACCACTACCCAGTATACCTCACGGTCTGTGTTTTCTGCTGTACATTTATTGCACTGCCTGGGTTGATCAGTTCCTTCCTTCCTTCAGCAAATATGTTAGCTATGTTGCCAGGCACCGTGCTAGGTGTTACGTTGTGGGAAGAATCACCAGTCCTTGTTTTCATGGAATTTATAGTCTACTGAGACTATGAAGAACAAGTAAACAAAATAAGTAAAATAAGTACAATTGTGGTTAGTGCTCCAAAGGAAACATACAGGTTGATGATAGAAGAGGATGATGCAGGGGACAGGAGGGAGTAGGAGAGACAAAGGGAAGACATCTTTGAGTTGCCAGCTCCTCTGTGACCTAAAGCGTAAGAAGTGAGTATGTTGGGAAGTCTTGTGGGTTACAGCAGTGGATGATTTGGTTCCATTTGCTTTAAGAAAGTAATTATTGCTGCTGGATGGAGATGGGGTTGGAAGGGTTCAAGAGTGAATGTAGAGACCAGATATGAGCTTATTGCAGTAATCCAGTTGCAAAGTAGTGGGGCTTAGACAAGGGTGGTGGCCCTAGAGAGAAGTGAATGGTTTCGAGGACCAGTGTAGGAGATAGAACTGATAGGCCTTGATGATGAATGCGAGGGAAGGAAAGAGTGCATTTAGGAGTGGGAGCTTGGAGGTGTGGATTAGAGATTTAAGTCTGAAAGACATTAGGACCACTTTTTAAAAAAAGAAACTTTGGAGGGGCACCTAGGTGGCTTATTCGGTTAAGCATCCGCCTCTTGATTTCAGCTCAGGTCATCATGGGTCCTGAGATCCAGCCCTGAGTCCCCGACTTGGGCTCCGTGCTCAGTGGTCTGCTTGAGATTCTCTCTCTCTCCCCCTCTGCCCCCCCTTCTCACGTCCATGCTCGCTCGCTCTTTCTCTCTCTCTATGAATAAATAAAATCTTTTTAAAAAAACCTTTGGAGATTTATTTACTTAATAAATTTACTTACCACATGCTAGGCACTGTTAGAGGCACCAAGAATGCGTAGGTAAACAAAATAGACAAAATCCCTGCCCTCGTGGAACTTACCTTCTAGTGGGGGGGATAGATTGTAAACAGGTAAAATTGTAAAATATACAGCATATGATTATAAGTACTAAGGAGCAAAAGTAAAGTGGGCAGGAGGATATGGCATAAAGGGGTGGGGTGGGGGGATGTGGCTGAACTTATAGATAGGATTTACCAGAGAAGACCTGACTGAGAAGATGTTGTTTGAGTGAAAACCTGAAGGAAGTGAGGGAATGAGCTGTGCAAGGCTCTGGGGAGGAGCATCCAGGCAGAGGCCAGTATAAAGCTCTGAGGCAGGAGTGTGCCTGCCTGTCCTTGGAGCTGCAGAAAGCTGTGGATGGAGTGGGCAGAGAAAGGGGGTCGGTGAGTGAGAGAGATGAGGTCAGAGTTAACAGGGTAGAGAAGGGCTGTGCAGAGCACCTATAGCCTGGAAGGTCTTCGTAAAACTTTGGCTTTTGTTCTGAGTCAAACGAGAAGCCACTGGATATTTTTGAGTAGAGGAGTGACATGATCTTATAACAGAATGGATAAGATCGTATAGAGGGAAAATGAGAGAGCTGGATCTGAGCCCCAAGAAATCCAGCATTTTGAGTGGGTTAGAGAAGAAAGAGCAGTGGAAGAGAAAAAGGACAGAGGTGGGAAAACCAGGAGAGTGTGGGGTCGTGAAAGGAAGAAAGGAGTGTTTCAAGGAGGAGGGAGTATTGTGCCAAGTGTCTAGTAGGGTAGGATAAAGACATCTTTAGCATATGGCAACACTGAAATTACAGGGGATTTTGGCAAGCCATTTCAGAGGAGTGTTGGGGCAGAAGTTAGAGTGTGGTGAGTTGGAGAGTAAATGAGTAAATGGGATATGGACAAGTGGAGGCTATATGTACACAACTTTTTCTTCTTGAAACAAATAGGTAGAAGCTGGGACTGTGGAATCAAGTGCAATTCCGTGTTATTTTATAAGGTGGAAGATACTAGAACATGTTAGGGAATGACCCAGTAGAGAAAAAAGATGATGTTGATACCAATAGTAGTTAACATCTACTGAACACTTACTATGTGTCAGACACTGTGCTGGGATGTGCAGTGAGATAATCCTCCAGTGGATGTATTGATACTGCCATTTCATAGAAGGAAACTTGGCATTAGGGAAGTTACTAGGCCAGGGTCACGTGGTTACTGTGTAGTAGAGGCAGTGGGTGAGCCCAGACATTTGTTGGTTTTTTTAAATTAACATATAATGTATTATTAGTTTCAGAGGTACAGGTCTGTGATTCATCAGTTGCATATAACACACAGTGCTCATTACATCGTGTGCCCTCCTTAGTGTCTATCACCCAGTTATTCCATCCCTCCACCCACCTCCCCTCCAGCAACCCTCAGTATGTTTCCTGTGATTAAGAGTCTCTTAAGGTTTGTCTCCCTCTTTGGTTTCATCTTGTTTTATTTTTCCCTCCCTTCCCCTATGATCCTTTCTTTTGTTTCTTAAATTCCACATATCAGTGAGATCATATGATAACTGTCTTTTCTCTGACTGATTTCGCTTAGCATAATACCCTCTAGTTCCATCCATGTTGTTGCAAATGGGAAGATTTTTTTTTTTTGATGGTTGAGTAGTATTCCATTGTATATATATACACCACATCTTCTTTATCCATTCATCTGAGCCCAGACATTTGAACTGCAGTCAGTCATTGAGTTATGCTGCCTACATTGATGATGCCAGGGGAAAAAATGGAGATAGATAACCTTCTCAAGCACAGTCCTTAAGAAGAGGAGATGTGAGTGGGAATGTGGGGGAGAACAGGCCTTTGAAAGAGGGATGGTCCCTTCCTCTGTAGTCAGGAAAGGGAAAGCATGGTACAGATGGGTGTAGTTGGGCTGCAGGTATTTTAGGGGTGGGAAGAAGAGAATGTTCATGGCTCAGAGCTTCTCTTTTTGTAATGAAATAGAAGGTTAAGTCATTAGCTGAGAATACGGTGAGAGTAAAATTTGCGAGGGGTAGAGGTTGAGAAGGCAGAAGACAGTTAAAATCATTATCTTGGGAAGTGGAGAAGAAAACATGGATCATTGGGCAGTTCTCCATGCCCGTTTGAGATGTGTGGTCATGAATTTTAAATGAAACCAATCACAGATCTTTGTGCAGCAAGATTTAGCCCCTCGAAAGCAGGCAGAGGCAAATGGTAGGGGCAGCTGGTGCTGGGATTTTGCCAGGATGGACTGAAGGGGAGAAAAAGCCTCGAGGGAGATGAGGGCATTTTCAAGGGAAAGTGACCACAATAAAGTAAGTGGTGAAAAAATTGTAGGATCAGTGGCAGAACAGTGAATGTGCTTGAGCAGATGAGAATCGGAGGTGGTGATCAAGAGAGTGGGTCATAAAAGTGGTCCAGTCTCTGTTTATTTCAGGCTGTGGCTGTGGGAGTGGAGGAGACAGATCATCACTGGGCATAAAGATGCCTGGAAATCCACCATTTAATCTCAATTTTCTTTCAGGGAGGCCATGATTTTTATGAAGGTGTTAGGGCAGGTAAGTGATGATTGTTTTCTTCCTGGCTATTATGGAAATAGGATTTGTAAGCATATACTGTTAATCAAAGAGGATAGTTGTTTTATTAGTGAAAATTCCACTTTGGTAAAGTTTGCAAAGTTATTGCTTTTTCATATTACCAACTGGCACATAAGGGAATATCAGTCTTTGAAACCAATATGGTTTGAAAAATGCACCTAACCTGTGTCACTGCTCCCTAATTTATATGTAAGAGGTAATCCTGCTTCTCCAATCCCATGGACTGCCTCTGCTAAGTATAGCTGGGCTTGAAAACTCATTCTGCTGCTGGAGCCTGGGAAAAGTACATTTATTCCCTTGCAAGAAGCCCTCAAGTCCCCTACCCCTCCTCTCTCTAGTACTGGCCTGGCCGTTCCCAGCAGCGTTGAACCCTACCGTAACCTCTTTCCCTGTACCCAAGTGGTTAAACATGGACATTGAGAAAAAACATAGGACATAATTAGTAACATCTGCTAATGTTCTTATTAATTTGTTTTTGTTTATCATCTCCAAAGTCAGCATAGTTAGAAAAGGTAAAATAGTTTATTTTTTGTTCTTAGCAAATTTGCAGAACAGTTTACGTGTAAAGCCCATATCCTCATAAATAATAGCCGTTATTTATGTTGCACAAAATGAGTTTTCCCCTTTGCATGTGTTTTGCATATCTAATGTTTTAATGTTTTTATTGTTCGCTTTAATGTAGAGATTCTGTATATACTTTATCTGAATAAAAGATTCTCTGAGCTGTAAGCTTTGATAAAGACTGGTCACTGTTGTAGAATGCTCTTAACTTACGGCATGATATAATATCAGAAATAAGCAGGGGTCCAAATCCTTTTAGACAACCCAGGGAATTGAGTCAGAGGAGATGGCTGTATGTTTTATAAAAACAAGTAAAATATGCATTTTTCACCCTAATTCCCTGCAAATTCTTGCTGCATGTGGATCAGAGCCTAGACCTCTGATATTAGGAGGACCTGTGTGCTACTTGGGTTTCAGTGCATCATTTTATGTTGTAGCAGCCCTCTTAAACTTAAAAAACAAAGATACTGTTTTCATATATACTGTCAATTATTTAACGGAAACAGTTGGGACCAAGCAGCATCAAAGTTATGATTCATAACACAGGAGCTTATCAAGCTACTTTTTAATGAAGAGAAAGTATACTGCCTCATCTTTTAGCATAATCTCCCTATTTTGCAAGCAGCATCTATTCTGGGTAAAACTGTTTGGTGTCCTTGCATAATAACCAAATGTTTGCTACGGTTTGCTAATTATAAAATACGTTAGCAAATTAGATAAAATAAACTAGCAAATTAGGGGAATGGTTGTCAAAAATTCTTACTCTTAACAGCTAGAATAAGCTACTTCCTGGTTATAGAAGAAAATAAATATAGATTTCAGCAGAACTAGAGAGTTACCAAAAGGAATTTGAGTGGGTGCCTCATGAGACTTGAAAAAACCTGAGCTGTCTACATGGCAGGAACTTGTTATTATCTGTGCTAAGTAAAAAATTATGTCTGTGTGAAAAGAACATATAGATTTTATTAATATTCTTTCCTTTTGCCCTTCAGCAGACTGTCAAGGAGGTAGATAACATGACAGCATTGGCCAGAGGGCTTAAAAGGGAAGAGATTCTTGAAGAAAGAATGTTCCAGAATTGTTTTTATTTATGCTGTTCGGGGAATGTAAAACTGTCAAATTGGCAGGGATCATAATATCAGTGTTACCACTGATCTGGTACTAGCCAGAATCCTGTAGCTAGGCGGCCCAGCCTTAAAAACCTCCAGTGTGGGGCACCTGAGTGGTGCAGGCAGTTAAATTATTCGACTCTTGGTTTGGGTCAGGTCAGATCTCAAGGGTCGTGAGATCGAGCCCTGCATCAGGCTCCACCCTCAACGGGAGTCTGCTTGAGATTCTCTCTTCCTCTCCCGTGGCCCCTCCTCCCCCCTCGTTTGCTCACTCTCTCAAATAAATAAATCTTAAACAAAAAAAAACCCCTCCAGTATCCACAAGAATTATGCACATTTTAAGCATGGTTAAAATTCTCTACCATAACCATACTAAGGATAGCCCCCTTCTCTTTTTTTAAAATTTGAGATAATTGTAGATTAACATACAGTTGTTAAGAAATATAGAAAGATCCTGTGTACCTTTCACCAAGTTTTCCCAAACAGTAACGTTTATATAACGGTAGTATACTGTCACAACCAGGAAACTGACAGCCCCTTCCCTTTTTATTTATTTTTTAAAGATTTTAAGTCATTTGACAGAGAGAGACACAGCGAGAGAGGGAACACAAGCAGGGGGAGTGGGAGAGGGAGAAGCAGGCTTCCAGCGGAGCAGGGAGGCTGATGTGGGGCTCATGACCTGAGCTGAAGGCAGACGCTCATCGACTGAGCCACCCAGGCGCCCATCCCCTTCCCTTTTTAAAGGAGAGGTTTGCCAGTTGCCTCATACTTATGATCCGATGGGGATGCTATGCGGCCACACTGAATGATGACTACACTGAAATAAGAGAAGTAGTTTCTTAGGATAACGCAAAGGTGGTCTGCTATTTTAATTCAGAGCTGTGTGAACTAGAGGATTCAGCAGAACAGCAGTATCCACATTTAATTATGCATAAAGTCATCCCCCCCTTCCCTCTACTTCAAGTAATTTTCCTTTCAATTCAATGTGGAGGAGTTTAGAAGGCAGATCTGGGCCCTCCACCCTCCCCTGCCTTGCCTTTAAACCAGACCAACTCTGGTTTTAGCTGTTTTATAACAGGAAGATTTCATTTACGATTTTGTTTGAAGAAGGCTAAGGCTTAAGCCACATTAGTAGGCTGTATTCAAGCTACGGGCATTAGACTTAGCAGGTTGGGAAATAACCCCATGGATCATCATCAGTACATTACTATCCATCCAAATCCTATAGGGCTTTAACTTAAAAATGGAACACATGCAAAAATTTTTAACTTTGCAGAAAAAAATGGGCTATAGAAAATATGCCTTGTGTAAGGTAGTTTCTGTCAATTCAGTAATTTAAAATCTCGTAATACCTGAAAAAAATGTACTAACATTTCTTATGTCTTCACTTGACAGTTTTAATAGATAAAGACCAGAGTCCAAAGTGGAAACCGGCTGATTTAAAAGAAGTTACTGATGAAGATTTGAATGATTACTTTAAATCTCTGGGAAGTAACGATTTGAAATTTTAAGGTGACTAGATTTTTAAGGGATTATTTTGGAGCAAGTGTCAGCAAACCAAAGTACATGGGCCAGATCCGGCCTGCTGCCTGTTGTTCAGTTTTCCACAAGCTAAGAATGGTTTCTGTATTTTTAAATGGCTGAGGGGAAAAAAAAAAAAAAAATCAAAGACTAATATGTCATGACGTGTGAAAATTACATGAAATTCAAATATCAGTGTTCATAAATAAAGCTTTATTGGAACATCACTGTACTCAGCTGTTTACATATTGTCTATGGCTGCTTTGAGTAGTTGCAAGAGAGACTGCAAAGCCTAAAATACTTACTCTGTGATCCTTTTCAGAAAATGTTTGCCAACCCGTTTTATAGAAATGGGAAAATTTGAAGGTTTTAAATATCTAATTGAAATGAGAGCCTTATGTTTTGGCTTTGGGTAGTAGTTTTTATGTTGATTAAATAAACTTATGTATAGATTATTAAAAAAATAACCCTGAAATTTTTTTGGCTATTGTGTTAATGCTTCAGAGAATTTCCTGCATATATAAACCTGTTTTAAAGTAATTATAAGTTACTATAGAAGTGTTCCTTTTATAATATTAGAAATCTCAGGCAAAGAGAAAAGGTTTTTATGAGGTTGTCTCTCTAGTATTATTAACTCAGCTTTGGTCTTCTCTAAAGTTAACCAGGATCCCTTCCTATGGTGAAAGTGATGGTTGTTTTGTAGGATTTGTTAATCTGAAAGAATGAGGAATTAGGAAACTCCAGTCTCTAAAATAGAGACACATTGCTTTCTGCAATTTACATTAAACTTGTGTGCGATAAGTTATCTGCTGTTACACAGAATAATTCAGGAGGAAAATAAAAAGGGCTTTTTGTTCAAAATAGAAATATGTTCAAAAACTGTTGACAAAATAAGTTTTTCTTAAGGTACACAAGAAACTGCAGGGTGTTCCAGACTTGGGACATTAAAGTCAAGGTAAGAATAATCTTTAAAGGTCAGTTTATCATTTATTTTATGACTTATTATAGTTTTCCCTCCATCCCAGACCATTCAGAAACTAAGAGAATTTCTGGTTTTTAAGAACAGAAAGTGGCAGAACTGAAAAAGACGTCAAAGATCGTATCCTGCACCCTTCTTATAGATGAGGAAATTGAAATCTAGGAGTTGCTTTAAATTTTCTAAATATTTAACATGAAGCATTTTTCCCCCAAAAAAGTCAAGAATAGATTTAGAATACAGATGGCATGATAATGGACATGTTTACATTTTCTTAAAGCTCTCAAATTGGACCTGAATGATCCAAGAAATTATTTGTATCAGTGGATTTTTATCCACTTTGTATTCATTAGAAATGCAGAAAAAATATTAAGTTCTTTATATCAAAAAAATTGACAGTACACAATATTGAAAGGCATTTGCTTTAATCAGAAATTGTAACTGGTTAATGGCAACTAGACTTTTATTGTATGGTTAGGAAAAAGGTTTTCACAAAAATATTTGGAAAAATACCATTTCCTAGCTAAGTCTTACAGGGAAGAGAATTAATAAAACTTGAGTTTTGCAAAGTAAGATATAGGGAGTACATCTGAGCTTGTGCCCACTGCTCCAAGGAAGATATGGTGTTTGGCCACACAAATACAGGATGAGGGCATTATGATCAAGCAAACAATATATTTATTGGAACTTTGTTTTTAACTTACTATTCCTTGACATTATTTATCATGTGTCTTTGATTTCTAAAACTATATAATACAAAAAGTATAGTTCCCTCTTCTCATAAAATGCCAGTGATATTAAGTAGGATGAGTGTCATGCTGTCTCCTTCATTCAATGTGTCTGTTTTTAATACTAATAAGGCAATTTGACACAAATTATTCCTTTGAAACTAAGATCCCCTTAAATTGTGCTTTAAGTGCTAATGACCACAGGTCGTTTGCAAAGAACAGATAAGGCAACTGAAAATTGAGAACTCTGGGATCGGAGGCTTTGCAACTGAAAGGTAAGAGCACACAAGACACCTTTACCTGGTGAAGGGAGCAGTGAAGCACGGTTGTGGGGTTCAGTGAGGGACTGGCACACTTCTCTGATAATCCGCTGCGTTTACAGTTGCCATCTGAGGTTCCTGGTCACATGGGTGGCAGCTCATCTGCCTCTATCCTGGATGTTCTCAAGGGAGAAGATTCAGGGGTTGGGCACATGTCCATGTGGTAAAGAAAGGAACTTGCTACTGTGCCCCTTACCTTAGTCGAGAACACTGGAGACTTGTTTTTGCAGTGTGTCCTCTGATGGAGCCTGACGTGAGTGCTGTTTCTTGGGCCCTTTTTTGCCCGGTTTCCTTTCCCTTATAATTTGGCCACTATTATTTCATCTGTGTTTATGATGTGTAAGTTGGAACAAATGTTTCCCTTTCCGGTAGCTAATAATTCTTTGCCTTCTGTTTTATATGTTCCTTCCTTCTCAAATAGATCTTCCATTCTTTTACTGTTTGTGAAAATTCAAAATGAAGTAAATCCAATATTTAGATATGAAGGTATGAAAGAAGTTATCCTATCAAAGATGTTCTCATCTGTTTTGTCATCAAGGCCAAACTATATCTTGATGATTAGCACATGCAGCACAAATTTGTTTATCCGCTGCTTTTTCCTGCCTGCCTCCAACTTGGATTATTGACTAACTCACTGATTTGGTTTGACATAATACAGCGTATATTTCCACGATAATTCTGTTGTAAGATCTTATACTCTGTTAAAATGATTCAGGAGCGAGGGGTTGATGCTTGGTGACAAAACCATACTGTCAGAGTGGCAACAGAGGTGAGAATTCTAGTGAGATATGGATCTGACAGGCATCCCTGCTCCAGCCCTGGGAAATAGGGGCCCAGGCACAGAACCTGAGGTTAAATATTTATAAGAAAACTCAACAGTCTACATCCCTGTGTATGCTGAAAAATTGAGTGTGGCTATGGCTTTTGTGTTCTCTTATCTTTTAAATAGTAAATGACTTTGCAGCAAGAGTGGCCTGATGTGAGATACAAAATGAATGAAAAATGGCAACGTCTAGGCTTTTGTCTGAGTCATTAGTATACTCAAAAACCTAAATTTTTCTTCATGAGCTCGAAAGATATTTTGCATTTTGAGAAGACTTTTGTGCCTTAGCCTTAGAACTTCAGATCCTTATATAAACAGGAGAGGTGGTTTTTCTACTTTGTAAGTTTCTAGATTGCAAGTACAACAGGACAGTTCAAATCTTGGGACTAGGTGAAATGAAAGTTCAGGTGTCCAAGGGCAACTGAAAGATGGCACATGACTCACTTCAAAGTATTCTCTTTGTCCATGCAATTGGGAGAATTCACTCTGTTTGCGGGTTTCAAAGTATAGTCGTTAAAATTAGAGGTAGCATTTCTGCCTTACAAGGCCAAATATATATTTATCTCATTAAAGAGGTCACAAGTCTTTCTGCCTTCCTTTAATTGTCAGTGACAAGTGTCTATTGAATCTTAATAGAATTTAATGCACACAGACTTAAATAATTCCCTTTCCAACTAAGTGTGTAGCAAATCTGGACGAAAAGACCATTCTAGAGACTGAGTCCCAATTTTTCTACAGGTTATGTTTTCTCAGTATCTTCTTCCACTCCCAAATTCTCTGTTACCATTAATTTTAAACAGTACTTAATTCTTGGGGGGGAAAAAAAAACTTCCCCAAAAAGGTAGCCAAATTTAATACGGCTGTAAATGCCTTATGTGCATTGTTACCATAAAAAAAAAAAAAAAAAATACACGAGTACTCTCTTTGGAGGAGTGTTTGATCTTCTGTTTTGTAATGCAACTGGATAGCCTCATGCATAGACTGGTCCCACAGTAATCTGAAGAGGGACTGCCCCACTAGTCAATAATAAAAATGGAAATGAGTGCCCATTATACCAACCCTCTATATCTGAGACAGTAAAATTTCATATACATGCAGCACTGCAAACAGGTTCTGCTTTCTACCTTGACTAGGGCTTCTGTTATTTAAAATTTACTGGATTGCTGTTTGTAAAAATTCTTGTTTTATCACTGGGCTGCTTAATTCAGTGCCATAAACATTAATGTCATGACTTTGGTAAATTGTATCCTGTTCAGATGCCTTATGTGCAAAGTCTTGAGTCATCCAATAACAGCTGTGGTTAGTTAGGGCCCTGAGGTTCAAGGTGGTAGTTAAGGACAGGTTTCAAGATGGACTACTTCTACAAGGGATGCTTTCTGCTGCTTGATCATTTGTGTTAAGTAGGGATCCTTGACACAAATGGTTTTGACAAACGACCCATTATTAATTACTGGGGCTTAAGTGCCATTTCCTTGCCAAGGCATCTGAAAAATCCTTTTCGTAACTTGTGTGTGTAAATTAACAAATGGTTATTTTAAAGACACTCCTTTTAAAATAACTATTTGATTTCTTTGGTGATACTATTAGTGCCTCAGGAAGAAAGTGGTGTGACATACAGCTGATTACTGTGGTGCAGGACCTATGTTTAGCCCTTTAAATGACTCAAATCCGAGACCAAGCAGATAGAAATTGCTATCAACATAAAAGTGCTTAACATATTTCATTTTAGATATTCCTATACTCTTATCATAGACATTTTTTTTTACATCCAGATGGAGTTATTTGTATTTATTCACACCAGTTTTTGCTATTATTTCATGTGTTTAAACTAGCACCAACTTTATCCACAATTCAAGAAAGTTACCATCATCATCCTATGGCATCAAGGCCCCTCGCTCTCAATGTATGGGATGTCATAGTACTTGATGTTATTGCCTGCCCACTGCTGCAAGGCATCACTCAAGATTTCCTGGGATAGGCGGTGTGCAAATTCGAAGACTACCATTTCGGGCCCTGGTGGTTCCTTCACTTCCTCTTCGACATTAACTGGAGAAGGCATCCTAGGTAGAAATCTCTCTTCAGACATAAAGCTTTCTTCACTTGCATGCCGCTTCTCACTCTCAAATGTGGTAGGAAATGGGAAAGTTTGCTTTGATTTCATGCAGCCCATGTTATGAAGAGCTTTGAGTGAAGAAAAGCAGTAGCAAAGACTACTTCAACAGCATCTTTGGAAAACACTGAGCTTGTCCACGTGATACTGACCAGTGCTTTTCCTTTCCAGGCACTTCAGAAATCAATGTTTCTTTTTACCAGTCTTCACCTGTAGTGTTTATCTGTGAAAAGAAAAGTTTCATTTTGATCAGGTAGCCTGTAGTAGCAGTCCTCTTTACCACTTTGGTCACTTGTGAGGTAACAACAGCTTTATCTTATCAATAGAAAGAAAACCACTCAGTAAAACTGGCAATTTACAAAATAGGAAAATCTGTTTTTTATGAAACTAAAAACAGTTTAACTTTTGCTGCTTAGATTTATTTATGTACACCGGGATTCAGCAAACTCTAGCTTTTGGGTCAAATTCTAGCTGTTTTTGTAAATTAAAGATTTTATTTATTTGACAGAGACAGAGGGAACACAAGCAGGGGGAGAAGCAGGCTTCCCGCTGAGCAGAGAGCCCAACATGGGGCTCGATCCCAGGGCCCTGGGACCATGACCTGAGCCGAAGGCTGATGCTTAACGACTGAGCCACCTAGGTGCCCCATAAATTTATTAGAACACAGCTATGCTATTTGTGTGTGTGTGGGCTATGGCTACTTTCATGCTACCATGGCAGAGATGAGTGGTTTTGACAGAGACCGTGTGGCCTGAAATTACTATCTGGCCCTTTATAGAAAATGTTTGCCAACCCCTGATCTGTGCTGTGAAATAAGCAAATAAAACATTTGTCCTGCCTCAAATCTCATGAGCCTACACATCTTGGACTCAGGGTCAGGCTCTGGCCCCTGGTTAGATGTTTACAATTAAAGAGACCTCTTTTTTCTTCTGAATTAGATGCTCCCTATGAAACTATATGAAAAGCTCAGATTAAAATAAGGTTAGAGGTTTCCTCCCTTAAATGTCTCTTGTCTGATGTCTGGTCAGTAAGTAGGCTGCAGTGCTCATGATGTACCTTCTAATCTTCGCAACTGGATGCTGTCACTGAATGACCTTCTCTTAGGACTTAAGGGTAGCTAAATACAAAGCAACTTCACAGGAGGGAGTCCAGCCATAAGAAAGCACAGGTGAAGTCTCTATAACACTATGATCCCAGATTATAGCGTAGTTTTTGGACCAGAAAGTCATAGCTCTAGAAAAATTCATAAAATCAAACTCAGTTGACTTATTTCTGAAATTACGATCTTAAGATAAAAATGAATTTAAATGCATGGTAGTTTTTAAATAGTAAAAGTCCAGAAAAGGTGACCTTTGCCATTTGACAATATTTAGATTTCTATGAAGTCTACCCAATTTCTCCCATAATACTACCCCTAATAAGGATTATATGGTCGGGGAGTGGAGGAAGTCTAGCCTTTTGCTTTTAATTACCCTTAGTTCCGTATGTCTTGCTAAAGATGTATTTCAAAAACGAAGATGTTTGGTTTACTAGACAACTCCTTGAAGACAGGAACTGCCCTGGTTGTATATCACCAACATGTTATCTATTTGTACATGAGGCATGGTTAAGGGAATTGTACATAGCCTGAAAATGATTATTCAATGAATGTCAATAAAAGGCAATGAGTAGGCTACCTGGGTGGCTCAATTGGTTAGGAGTCTGCCTTCAGCTCAGGTCATGATCCCAGAGTCCTGGGATCAAGTCCCACATAGGGCTCCCTGCTTCATGGGAAGTCTGCTTTTCCCTCTACCCTTCCCCCCTGACCCCCGACTCGTTTTTTCTCTTTCAAAATATTTTTTAAAAAAAGGCAATGAGGAGAATCATCATAATCTGTTTTCTAGGATCTTTGGTTTTGCAAAAGCAGCTTTCAAAGTAGTGCCAGATTTACTGTCACCAAAAACTTTAAACCTGGAGAAAATATATGTGAAAAACAGCACAGGACTGTGAACCTCAAGAGAAGGGAAACACAGAACGTTAAACTCCACAATTGAGCATCCTGCCTGGGAACATCTTCCAGCATTATCTTGGGGAGGTTGGGCCCAAGCAGAGTGGCAGCCCTGCTGAGTTGAAGAGGTTGGAATCCTAAAGGTAGATGAAATTTCAAGAGGCAAGGGAGCTGTGGGGAAAGGCAGAAATGGGGTCTCCCATTTGATAGGGTCTCATCAAGACCACCTACAGGAAAAGGATTTGTAAGACTTAGCACTGAACGATTATACCATAAGTTAGTGCTATGGAATCCTCGGAGTTCCAAGACCAGCCTCCGTGGAGAAACCTCACAGAAACCTTAGGAGTCAGGTGTGAATCCTAGGGCAGGGGTTGGCAAACTTTCTTAAGGGGCTAGATAGAATTTAGGTATGTGAGCCATATGGTCTATGTCACAACTATGCAGTTCTGCTCTATAGTGCAGAAGTAGCCATAGAGGGGCACCTGGGTGGCTCCGTCGGTTAAGTGTCTGACTCTTGATTTTGGCTAAGGTCATGATCTCAGGGTTGTGAGATCAAGCCCTGGGTTGGCTCCACACTGGGCGTGGAGCCTGCTTAAGAGATTCTCTTTCTCCCTCTGCCCCTCCCCATGCTTGTCCACACACTCTCTCTCAAAAAAAAAAAAAAAAAAAGTGGGCAGTGGCTATGTTACAATAAAACTTCACAAAAACAGGCTAACCAGCCATAGACCATATTGGACTAAGTTCAAACGGAGAATAAAACAATACCATTTAAAGGAAGATGACATAATCCAGACTCCTTCAAGGGTATTATCCACAATATCTACCCTAGAATATAAAATTACTTGCTGTGCAAAGCAGGAATGCGTGCCCCACGTCCAAGAAAAAAGTTATTAGAAATAGAATCCCAAATGACCCAGCATTTGGTAATTAACACAACTTACTTAATAGAACTGTAAAGCTGTTTATGTAAGGAAGGGGCACCTGGGTGGCTCAGTCATTAAGCATCTGCCTTTGGCTCAGGTCACAGTCCCGGGGTCCTGGGATCGAACCCCGCATCGGGCTCCTTGCTTGGCAGGAAGTCTGCTTCTCCCTCTCCCCCTGCTTATGTTCCCTCTCTGTGTCTCTGTCAAATAAAATCTTTAAAAAAAAGAAAAAAGTGATAAAGACTGAAAAAGTAGAATCTCATCAGAGCAATGAAAATTGTAAAGAAAAAACTCAAGAACTAAAATGAAAAACTCATTGGATGAGCTACTGGATACTTAAGGATTAATGAACTTGAACATACATCTATAGATCTGTCCAATCTGAAAAATGGGGGAAAAGATAAAGTATGCCTTAAAAACAATAAGGAGTTTGACACATTGAACCCATAGAACAGCAGGAAAGGAAGAATATAGGAAGAAAAAAGCAAATGGGACAATTAGAAAACAGTGAAGTGGCTGGCTTAAACCCTTACATATAAAAAATTTGGAAGGAAATGGACTAAAATTTTCAGCTTAAAAGGCAGGCTAGCTAAAAAGTAAGATTCATGCCACACAAACGTAGTCAACAGATCTTTGGCAAAGGAGCAAAGGTAATACAGTGAAGCAAAGATAGTCTTTTCAGCATGTGCTGGAACAACCATATAGCCACATGTTAAAAAAAAAAAATCTAGACACAGACCTTCTATCCTTCACAAAAATTAACTCAAAATGGATCACAGACCTAAGTGT